TCATTAACTTTAGTTTTAAAAAATGATAGCGATATTCTAATGCAGGTTTGTATAATAATACTTTTGTAATATTTTATTGTTTTGTATCGCAATATCTCCCTAATGGCGTATGACTCAACATTTAAATACCTTTAAATACCCTTCATGAAGATTTTCATCTGTATTGCATAAGATAGGCCCTCTAGATTTCAATTTGAAATATCAGAAAACAAAATTGATATTTAGATTATTCTTTTAATGCTAAATAATCCCGTCATTTGTGTTTTGTGTTTATCAGTGTCATTATCAACTGGCAATATATTTAATACTGCTAATAATTTTGAGGTTGAATAAAGTTGTACTTTCTACATTTCACATTATGATGTTTAAAAAACCACAAAATACACCTTTAAGGAGAAATCTAACAATTTTCGCATATATGAACTTGAGAAGTAGTTAGACGGTAAATGTGACCGGATCTACGGAAATGCCTAAATCGACCTTATATTTACATGACGACCCTTAGCAAATGTGTTGACAAGGAAGGGTCCGATAATAACGCTAAATTTAATAATGGAAAACCACGAAGCTGTCGTAAAAAGTCCGAGTTTCACGTCACCGTTCGCCTCCAGTAATTTTATATAATATTCAAATACCGCTTTCCCGTCCAAATCTAATATTCCGGGGGACTGGCTCTCCTTACGCGTAATCGAAGACGCCAATTTTAATGAAAATATTTCCAAAAAACAGAGTCGTATTCCCATTAGGGCGGCTTTATTTTCGACTGGCGCTTTTAACTATGTCCTTAAAAAAAAAGAGTTTACTGGAACGATTAAAATTAATTGCCAATATAATAGACAACTATTTTTTAATTATTATTGGGTTGTTCGGAAAGTCATTTCGTTTTTTTTTGGGGAACATGAAAGACAGTTTTCGTATAATGAATAAATATTTTATTAAATTATATATTGGCCATTCTGGTCAAACACCTTTTGCCATCTTTCTGGCAGTAACATAATTCCCCTCTCATATAAGTTTTGGTCCTTGCTGGCAAAAAACTGGTTCAGGTGGTTTTTGACATCTTCATTTGAGGTAAAGGTTTTGCCATCCAAAAAATTTTGCAGGGACCGGAACAAATAGTAGTCGGAAGGCGCCAGATCTGGAGAATATGGTGGATGTTGCAGTACGTCCCATTCAAGCTGTAAAAATTTTTGGCGAGTGACCAAACTTGTGTGAGGTCTCGCATTATCCTGGTGGAACACTACACCCTTCCTGTTGATTAATTCGGGCCTCTTCTCTTTAAGTGAATTATTCAATTCGTCCAGTTGATGACAATACACTTCTGAATTAATCGTTGTATTGTCCGGCAAAAGCTAAAAAAAAAACGATTCCTTTGACAACCCACCAAACGGAGAGCATCACCTTTTTTTGGTGAATGTTGGCTTTTGACACGCTTTGAGCCGGTTCATCTTTTCTGCTCCATGACCTCTTGCTTTTAACATTGTTGTATACAACCCATTTTTCGTCCCCAGTAATAATCCGCTTCAAAAATGGATCATTTTCTTGACGTTTGAGGAGCGAATCACACACGTCAACGCGACGACACAAATTTCGCTCCGTAAGGACATGGGGCACCCACACATCGAACTTCGAGGTTAAGCCCATGCCTTTCAAATGGCCATAAACAGTCGAATTCGACAAATTTAATCTCTCACCGATCTCTCGTGTGGTTATTCGTCGATTTGCATCAACTAATGCCTTTATCGCAACTTTGTCAGCTTCGACCGGCCTTCCAGACCGTGGTGCATCTTCGACATCAAAATTGCCGGATCGAAATTTTGCAAACCAGTTCTGGCTCTGGCGTACTGTTAACACGCCTTCTCCATACACATCCGTCAATTTTTTTCTCGCTTGGACAGCATTTTTACCTTTTCTGAAGTAAAAAAGTAAAATATGACGAAAATGCTGCTTATTGCTCTCCATATTTAAAAGGGCACCAACCAAAAACTACTGCGTAGAATTAATAGAACTTTTTCACACACAAGCCTTGCAATATCAGCTCTCAAGACATATAATGGTTATGCGGCTTAAGTGTGAAGTTGGTTTCGAAAAAACGTAATTAAGTCCTCTGACGGGAAAAAACGAAATGACTTTCCGACAACCTTATATTAATATTGTGGCTAAAATATAACGCTTCACATTCATTTCAAATTAACAGATGTAACCGTCATTTTTTTGGTAATATGTTTAAGGCTTTAATCCGATTCAGACAAAGACAAGACTCTGTTATTTAGTATAATTGTTATGTTTTATATTATGTTACTGCAGATTTATGAGGGTTTATAAGATATGATCAGTCGCACTATTAAACAAATTGTCAAATGTATAGCACTTGACAATTTTAATTAATTAATTAATTAATTTAATTTAATTAATTTAATTAATACTATACTTTGTAATAGCTGGTTCTTGAACAAAAAAAAAGAAAAGTTAAAGCTAAAAACAGTATACAATTTGGATACTACCTAGTGGGACACGTATGCGAACATCTAGGAGTAATGACGATGACCGTAGTAAGAAATAAGAATCATTTTGCTTAATTGAAATTATTTAATTCCAATTCCAATTGGTATTTGCAAAAATAAAACTATATAAAATATTGATAAAATTTGAATTATTTCAATGTCCTTTATTGTTTAATTGTATGGTTTCTAAATAATATAATACAAAAAGCATTTCATACAAATTTTACCCGTGTGAAAACATTTTCCAATGAAATTTCGAGAACTTCAAATTTACACAAAGTTGTGGAACCTCTCCGAAAAATTCGAAAAGTTACTTGGAAATTTCGAACACGATCGCTCCTTAAAAATTAAAAGGTCACTCGGGGGGGGGCGTAAAAAAAATCGTTTGACGAAATTTTAGTTTAATACGGTTCTGAAATGGCGAGTATTAATTTTAACTCGAGGTCGGGGAGATCCCTTGTGGGTGTAGGATTTAAAATTCCTCCCGCGTTTCAACGAAATTTTCCTGATCGAAAAGCCCTTTAGAACTTCCGTAGTATTAAAAATAAGCAAGCGCGAAATTTATACAAGGTGTGTCCACCTCTAAGCATATCAATGAATAATACGTGGGAATTCTGATAATAATAAATAAGTTGAAAAGTATAGAAGTTAAATGCAAATAGGTTTTCAGTAATACGTTGGAAAATATTTTTAGACTGTCATGAGAATTAGGTATATTTAGTAGTCGGTGGGCAAGGGATTAGAAAATCTTCCAAAATACTTTAAATAGTTAATGATTGAAAATATTTTAGGCTCATAATAATAAAATTTATAAGATTTTTTTTTGAATAATACAAACCTTTCCTCGATCACTTAATATTCATTGAAATTTAGGCCATAAATGTTTCTCAAAATGTTTTCAATGTCGCAACCCGCTACAAAGTTGTTATAATACGACCAAAAATATAGTGCATTTGTAGCATTTTTAGGATAGTGGTAACACCCATCCCTACAGATGTAAATTCTGCATTAAGTAGGTCTTCTCTGAGATATAACTGTGAGAAACCAGTAATAAAAGAAGAAAATATTTATCGAAAACGATTAGTGGCGGAGTTGTTCATTGAACTAGGTGACGACAGTAGCTTTAGTGACGTTTCTTTAAGTGACTGATACTTCATTATTGTTATTATATTTAATAATTTTTATATTAATAATGATACTATGTAGAAATCCTAGATATATTTCAAAAATTACGATTGCAGGCCTAAAAACAAAGGATTTTACTATAGGGGAGCCTCAATTATTTAATTGTGGGTGGATTTCTTATGAAAACTCCATATTTTTATATTTTTATCCGATTTTGCATTAAAAATTAAGAAGAATTCACAGCTCTCGAAATAATTGACAATTTAAGATTTTCCTATTGTATTATTGACCATGATACTGAAGCTTTAGAAAATAGAATTAGTTTTCCAAATTCAATTTTTAAATGGGAGTGGTGGTGGATCATGTGGATCATTTAATTCTGTTTTGTGGATATAATAATTACATAGATCTAAATTTTCATTTTCTGAATACATTCCGGGTTTTAATTTACAAAATCAGAAGAATTAAATTAAATAATAATTTAATGATAGAGAACTCGTCCAATTGATATATAAATAGATATAGTTTTGTAAAGTGACATTTGCCGGATTGTCTACTTTTCATAGCCAACTAATAACCAAACTTAAGAGCTGTATTAATTATTAATATTAAATATTAAATTGTCAAATATTTTGACTTTGACAACCTAATACAAACAATGAATTACATCAAGACAGTAAATTACATTCAAAATATCCATATGAATAAAATTCAAGACTTTTTGAAAATGAATCGAAGAATACAGGATATTCAATTTGTTGCAACTTTTCTATTTAACTTTTTTCCATCATTATTAGTTTCTGAGCTAAGGAGATAAGTATCCTTATTTCGGACAACCTGTACATCCTGCCCTTCCCAAATTCTGCGCCACTGGCGGATGTGTCATTTAAGTATATTTTTTGATTTTCCACTAGTTTGTGTGTAAATAACATGCTCATTCCTTGTAGCGATAAAATCTTTGGTACTTATAAATTATGTCGGAGCTTTTGCGACATAGGGTTGCATAGATCCATAGATCTTAATAAAATTTCCAATTCTGTATAATCTTAGAAATAAGTAAGGATAATAAACAATTTTTCTCATTATTTTTCTTATAAGTGACATTCTTTAGTCGTACGTACGTGGTTAATATTTGCAACATTAAACAGCTAAAATCGTCAGGAATTAATAGCTGCGTTTGCCTTTAACTTCCTCGTGATTCATATTAAAAGCTACTTCCTTCATTTAGTCGACTCCCGCGTGAAAATAACCAAGTCGAAGCACTTCGGAGGCGGAAAGAATTGCCCAATAAATCAAAGCCGATGAAGTTGCTGGCGGTAAATGAGGTGAATGATGTACACCGATTTGTCTTTAGCCATATCTCTTTCACAGATGGACTAAAATGTACCCGGACAATGGACCAGTTCATGATAATGGAAAATAACACCGTTCGTCTCGGCGGGAGTGATATGAACTTGGAAGATTACGCGGTAAGTTTTATCGTAAGGTGCACCTTTTTCAGACTGCCAAATTTTGTTATTTTATATTTATAACTCATTTGCAGCAGAGCAAAGTTTAAAACTTTTAAATTAAATACTTTTATACTTAAGGATCTTCAAAATTCAATTTCACTTAATTAATATTTTTAATGGGGTTAATTGCATGCGATATATACCGCGAAACATTATTTTTTAATATAAGATTCACGTTGAGTTTCCTATTAGAAGTTCTGGAGAAATAAATTTGCCACATGTGCCTCTAGCGAGCCATAAAATTTTATAATAGAAACAGACTTGACAGGACGTTAACTGAGAAATGCGTTAAGTTAAAGGATACAAAATATTAGAAAACTACTATTTCTCATTAATTACTTTATAATCAAATTAGTAGTTCTAGACGAATAAATAGTTTTGGGTAAATTTTGGTTAGTTTGTTTTTGAAATATGTATTTATTAATATTAGTAACATATAGAAACGGACAGCTTGGAAATTCAAATAGAACACCATGTGTACTAGTACAATTTCTCGTTTTGCGTAAAAATTTTAGTAATTTTCCCTTACTTCTGAAAAAAATATTTTTATTTGTTTTGCAGAAAAGCACCCTTTGATTAAAGCTTATTATCTCTTTGCCTATTTTGTAATTTTACAGGAGTTGGATAATACATTTATTTCAATGATAAGTATGCTAATTTGTTGGTGAGTTATGCAGGGTGCCCAAAAGTTTAAACTTCTGAAAAAAAGTGATAGAAATCATATATTTTAAAAAAATGCAAACTATTTGAATTTACCGTAAAGAAGTCGTTGTTGTACATGATCTCTGGACACATTCACGTTAATCTCAAATATGCCTGTACCCTCTATAATGTGTGTGTGTGTGTGTGTGTGTGTGTGTGTGTGTGTGTGTGTGTGTGTGTGTGTGTGTGTGAGAGAGAAAAAGAGACAGAGAGAGATAGGGAAATGGTAACAAAAAAAAACACAAAAAAAAGGATTCTGTTCGAAACTTAAAACAAGGCACTAATAAAATAAAAAGAAAAGCTAAAAAGATATAGAAGTAGCAATTACAGAAATGAGTTGCTGCAGTTACAACAGCGATGAATTGGTTCCGCCCCATATCTGATCAAATTCTTCCATCTTTTAATTCAAAATATTTCACCCTCTCTATCTCTCTTGCTTCTTGTAATTGTAGTTGCCTACATTCTTAATATGTACTTAAAGCTTCTTGCAGTATTTGACCTGGCAACTTGTCATTTCAATTTGAAAACATCTATTTACATCAAAGCCTAAAGATATATTTTTCATATGTGTATATATATTCTGTAAGTGAAGGATCACAGCAATAAGGAGAAATAAATAATAAATAAATCAATATATTGTGGCGCAGGACTTCTAATAGGACATTTTTTTTTAATGCATTTCTCAGTTAACTATCTGCGAAGTCTGTGTCTATTAAAGGATTTTATTGAAGAACACTTTTCCCCATAGCATACAAAGATCGATCACTAACTATTTCTTTTCATTAAAATAAAATATTTTTTAAGGGTTCACATAGATTTAACATAAAATTTTCAATTTTTTACTGAGGGATTCACATTACCTGCACAGAAATTTATTCTTTAAATTTTTGGTTTCCACGCTACGCCGCTTCAAAATTCTATTTCTCAATATAATTTAGGAATAAAATTATTGTTTAAAATTTTGTTTTTTGACAATATCTCTCACTAAAAGATTGATTATTTTCTTGCATGTTCATTAAAAATTTTCTAATTGCATTTTCTTAAATGTCAAGCAACTTGTCAAAAATTATCCTGTTTTGAAAATATTTTTTTGTTGAAGAAAATATTTCATTTATTTCCAAATTCATAATAAATGAAATTTGTATTATTCTACTCATCATAAATAGTTTAGAATTGTCAAGCATCATTTAAACAATTAATTTGTATCATTTTCTTTCTCTAGTTATTTATTATCTAATTAAAGTCTGAAAGCGTAAAAAATTTGATTGAGTCACAAGTCCACCATTACTGGTATAGAGCATTAAACCGATCGGAGAAGTGTAAATGAGGACTAGACGAAATTCCTCTAGAAGTTTCCTTGAAACTTCCCGATCGCTATTCAGAATTCTATAGACTATAAACGTGATTCATTTGCAATTCAAATCGCGGATCTTAAGGCGAAAATATTTATTTCATTTTTACTTGAAATTTTGTCGTCTCAGGAAATATCCAATTTATTCCGTAAACGTCAAACCATCGATCGGTAAATTGCTTCCACGACGAAGTGATTCGGAAATTTCGATGGAAAATAATGGGGACGTTTTGGGGGACCGACGATGTCCGTGACACCGGCGTTTTATCGTCGTGACAGTTAAAACGACATATTTGGAATAATGCCGCTTAAGCCTACGTAAGTTTCGGTAGGTGAAAAGTCTTCATGTTTGGATTAATCATGAAAATGGATCGTCGATACGATTTCCATTCCAGAAATCCCCGTAACGCTTTATTACTGCCGTCATTGAAATTATAATTAATTACCCCTCAGTTAAACAGAGTTAACGGCCAGCCTAAACTAACTTTGGTCGACTATACAGTGTGTCCAAGACGAATTCACAAAGTGGGAATATTCAAAACGGGAAGAACTACGGGTCAATTTGAAATATTTCGAGTACCTTCAAATTCACGAAGAACAATATAACTAAGTTTTAAGTAATTTCGTTCTCCGTTTTTGTTGACAAAAATATTGCTCTACTTCATGATTTCATTTTTTTCTTTTGAACTTCAGGCAAGGGATGTTTTCAAAAATTTTGAAATTTCGTCAAAAGTTTAATTGTCGAAAACCCACAAGAAATTAAACTCAGTAATTCTTTATCAATATTTAAAAGTTGACAGGTTTTTTTCAGAAAAATATTTCTATAACTTATACCTATGTTCTCAATACGGGAGAGTAATGAAATATAAATTTTGCAATCACAGGGGCCATTAAACAGAGGGGATGGCGTAAAGGTGATATCGTAAAATTGAGATAAATTGAGTATTTCAGTTTTGAAGGCCTACATACCTCGAATAATAATATTGTAATAATATATAATAATATATATAATGATTATATAATATAATAATTTATAATATAATAATTTATAATATAATAATTTATAATATAATAATTATACCAGATATTAATTATGTTATTAATTATATTATAATTATACAAATTGAGATATTAATTACTACTATATAATACATGCCATATGCCAATATATGAATTGGCGGCGTTTATCTTTTTATATTGTTGATTGTCCAACTCCAGTCATATTGGAACACATGTTGAGTTTTAGCGGCGAAAGCATTTTTTTTTCGTTTTGGTTAGTCAATTTCAAGAGCTAACTTTGCCAACAACTGTCGAAAGGTAATTATAATTCTAATTTTATACACTAAGGCAGATATACTCAACTACGTGTCCATCTACCTGGCACTCTCGGGACCCTTGACAATCGTCATACTACGCCCATGGAATACGGATAAGACGACTAAGTTTTACAGTTCATTAATGATTGATAACTCTCTAGCATTAAGAAACCGCGCATAGATGGGTTTGTATTAGGAAAAAAATTAATTTTCTTCTTAGGTAAACCTAAAATCTCCTAGAGCAAATATTCCAATGTCTCAACGCATAGCGCTAAAATCTAATCCCCACGTCGAAATTCTACAAGCAGAAAAATGAAATGTTGCGATAGTAATGAACACGACTGACCATTAGGAAAAAAATAAAGATATATTTACAAACGAATTCTATCGTCAACTATTAGAATCCGTAAGAAAGTATGTCCGCACCGCTCACGACTAAAATTCCTCTCCTCTACGGACTTCCTAAGGTTTACAAACCAGAGTTACCCCTTCGACCTATTGTTATCTATATTAAAACCCTTTACAGGGAAAACTGATAGTTTCCTGTCACTTCATTGAACAACTGGCTATTTTCGACTTAGAATCTCTTTTTATTGAAGTCCCTGAATCTGTCAACATTATTTCAGATATATTAAAATCCGAGAATCTAGAACCGAATCTTCTCGTATTCTCATTATCATCAGTCATCGCGAATATATTTATGGAAGTTTTAGGGAAGAGAGCCCTCGACACCATCAATCTAGAACAAAAATTATGATACTCTTGTTATTTGGCTCCATAGTCCATTTTAGAAACTAATATTAATCGTTTTTTATTAGATATTATATTATATATTATAGAAAACCTACATACGCAGACCGATACCGTAATCTATTGTCATATCACCATCCGGCCCAAAAATCATCGGTTATCAACTCTATTGTTTCCGGAGCGGTAAAACACTCTCAACCCGAGTCACTGAAACCGGAATTCCCCTTACATCTGTCTAATAATTTCCACATGAGAGATATTAAACGTTCTATCATAAAATACACGTAACCAAAAACATTTGAAGAAAATGTGCCCGAAAGCTATCCCACACTTGCCACTGTGGTCCTTTCTTACATCACTGAGCACATATCATAAATCGCTCAAAATCTTCGACCCGTCAAAGACAAAATTCCGTTTGAACTATCAGCCTTCCATGCATATGAGGTAAAAAATACATTGGAGAAACAGGGCGAATAATATCAACTAAAAGATTATGAAAAATAAACTTACTCAACTGGACATGAAATATTAATCGATGAAACTAAAATTCTTATAATGTAATCAATTCTTCCTATAAAGAAAAATAAGAGAATTTATAGAAATCTATAAACAACCAAACACTCTGAGACAATGCTAATCACTTTCTTTAACTCCGCCCCCCCCCCCCCCCAGACAGTATATAAGCAGGTACAGAGTAAAAGGCGAACCAGTTTCAATTAAGATCTGGAGATGTTTGGCGAATCGTCAGCAAGTTCGATTTATCAACGACCGATCGACGATGTTCTTGTAAATTGATAATTTTTGGTTTCTATACTTTTAATCACTTGCTAAGTTAAGCT